TATACTGTTAAGCGTGACCGAGATAGTGTACTTTATTTATTGTTATTCATCCGGAGGTGTTTTGTTTTGTATTTTCATCTCGGCGTCAGAGGCAGGATGATAACAGAGTCGGTCTTGCTTGGCGGAGAGCAGAGGAAGACTTCATAAACGATAACACATTTATACATTATTGAAAGATAGATAGATAGATAGATAGATAGATAGATTGATAGATTATTATTTACGTACACCGAATATTTTCTACGTCGAGTACAAAAGACGAATGAGTTCCTTAATTGCCAAGTGTCTCCCAGGAATCTGTGTGTGTAAGAGTACAGATTGTTTGAGTCCCAGCTAAGATTACTACGTGAGTGTGGTGGGCCCCTGTCACCTGCCGAGTGTGGGAACGTTGATTACCACACTGAAGACACGTGACTGACTGGCCAGAAGTTAGCTGTGGTCATTACGTTGTGTGTGAGAGTAACAACAACGGGAGGAACAGCCTGAAGAAGAAGGGGTAAAGTTGTAAGCTTCAAGTGGCTGATGTACACAGTGGGGAGTCTCGCCCTCACTCATCCACAGGTCACTTGTTTCTGTGTCTCGGTACAGTGTCTCGGTACACTGTCTCTGTCTGTGTACTGTACCCTCGCATGAACCTATTCTAAACTTGAGATTCGCGAGAGCATTTTATCATCTAATTATCAAATGTAAATATAAATAATACTTAATAAATAGAATATAGTTATTGTGATAATTTTATGACCTTAATGACTCTGTTTTTATTAATAGGAGTTAGTATGAATGTTTAAGTTTATTACTATTGTTTGCATGTATTTGACCCAGACTTTTAACTTTCAGTAAGATATGCTGATAAAGTGTTCCAGGTTTTTATAGTTATTGGTTAGGTTAGGCTAGGCTAATTATGAAGCATCTTTTTCCTCCCCTAAAGCAGCTATATCTTGTGCTGAAGCCTGCACATATACATGAATATAAACACACACACACACACACACACACACACACACACACACACACACACACACACACACACACTCTCCTACATTACCAGCCACGCGTGGTCACGGTTGACCTGTCCTCGTGACTGATCAAGGATAACCCTTGCCGCCAAGCCTGAGACGTGGGTGCCTTCTGTGGCAGCCTGACCCAAGCCTGAGACGTGGGTGCTTCCTGTGACAGCCTGACCCAAGCCCAGAAGACGAATTGTAACAAGCAGGCTGGGCGATGGGTGGGCTTACGACACGGTTATACGTTTATGATGGTGTGTGGATTTTGTAAGACTGAGCTGAGCTTCAGTTAATCTGAGGTGAGTGTTCCTAAGCGTGAGCCCAGTATGAGCCCAGAGTGAGCCCCTAGGTAAGCCCAGAATCAGATACCAATGACCTGAGCCTTCACTCGCAGGCAGTTGCATTCTTCAGGTGGTGGGCTCGATCCCTTGGGCTTGGAAGGAAAGTTAAAATTACAGTAACATAGATCATTCCTTAGTTCAGGGTTAAACTTGAAGGCAAACACCGTGTAGGGCTGAGAGTAGTGTCGAGTGAGACTTGTCGTGGGTTGAGTGACGTTGTGTTTGGTCCGTGGTGGTGTGGGAACGGTCTCTTGTCGTGAGTTAAGTGACTTTGTGTTTGGTCCGTGGTGGTGTGGGAACGGTGTCTCTGGTGTGGGTTAAGTGACTTTGTGTTTGGTCCGTGGTGGTGTGGGAACGGTCTCTCTGGTGTGGGTTAAGTGACTTTGTGTTTGGTCCGTGGTGGTGTGGGAACGGTCTCTCTGGTGTGGGTTAAGTGACTTTGTGTTTGGTCCGTGGTGGTGTGGGAACGGTCTCTCTGGTGTGGGTTAAGTGACTTTGTGTTTGGTCCGTGGTGGTGTGGGAACGGTCTCTGGTGTGGGTTAAGTGACTTTGTGTTTGGTCCGTGGTGGTGTGGGAACGGTCTCTCTGGTGTGGGTTAAGTGACTTTGTGTTTGGTCCGTGGTGGTGTGGGGTCTCTCTGGTGTGGGTTAAGTGACTTTGTGTTTGGTCCGTGGTGGTGTGGGGTCTCTCTGGTGTGGGTTAAGTGACTTTGTGTTTGGTCCGTGGTGGTGTGGGAACGGTCTCTCTGGTGTGGGTTAAGTGACTTTGTGTTTGGTCCGTGGTGGTGTGGGAACGGTCTCTCTGGTGTGGTCTTGAAGTGAACTCAGGCTTTACGTACATTGTTTGGTCTCTTAGCATTTCCTTTATAAGATTTTGTTAAACTTTTTCAGGTAAATTAAATCACGTGACTGTATTTACCAGGATCACGATGAACTTAGTCACTGATAAATTCACTGTCGTATCTCATAAATAATACATTACTATCGCTTCCCATTGTGACAGACTTTATCGGCTATTTACCACATGTTTCATCAACTCGTAAAGTAATGTAATTGTGTTGGTAAGTGTGTCAATAATGGTTGTAAGTGTGTTAATCATGGTCGTAAGTGTGTTGGTAAGTGTGTTAATAATGGTTGTAAGTATATGGTTTCTAGGATTAGTTTTATATAAGTAGAAGAGATTATTGCTGTCGCCTCTGTCCCCGTCACCTACCACCATTACTACCACACACACACACACACACACACACACACGTACACATATACATACATACATACATACATACATACATACATACATACGACACGGACTTCCCACCTAACGCTGGGGTTGACAACATTTACCTTTTTTTTGGTCATCTGTGTGTGTGTGTGTGTCCACCCCCCCCCCCTCCTCTCCCTGTGTTCATGGGTACCAAAGGGATGAGAAGTCTGGGTGTCCGTATCTCCGTGAGTGTGTCCGTGGGTCCCTAGATGTCCGTATGGGTGAGTATATTGTTGATGTAAACTTGTCACCAGTTGTCTACACCGCCCGATATTTATTTATTATGTGTTCAAGAAGGTCCGAGTGTTGGCCAAGTGGGAGCACGTGGCGTGTAGTAATGACGTTAATAAACCAGCTATTTAGTCTGAAACCTTTTTATATTGACAGATATCAACAATGGATACACCCCTTGGAAGCTTCGTTTAATTGTTTCATAGTAACACCAAGGCTGGGAACAAAGATCAATACCTGGACACTTATTCTTCTTGATCAGCTCACGTTTCAGTACCTCAGTAACCATCATCACAACACTATGGTCAGACACAACAATATTCTCACACACGAAACTTTCACACGGATGTATTAAGATTAAAACACTGAACTAATTATTAAATCAATTAACAAATTCACATAACGTTAACTAAACATTGACAGGGTGAGGAATTAACAGTGAAGTTAATGTAGTTATGATAACAATTAATTGTAAAAAAGAACAATGAAGTTAAGTTTAAATGTAGAGGTACTGTACAAGGGGCTACCACGAGAAGCACACGAGTGGAAGTGACTGTTTGTCTGTCTACATGAGGAGAGACAGTGAATGAGGTGTCTAGTTGACCCATATTAGATTCCTCATTCACTGTCCGCACCAGACAGAGGAGCCTAGACATGGAGCTGTGCACAACACAGTCACTCCTCACGCAGGCAGACAAACCAGCCATCTCCACAAACAAACAGTCATTTCCATGTAACTTCACTGTTAATTCCTCACCAGTCGTGGTTTAGTTAACTCTGTGTGAATTTGTTAATTGATTTAATAATTAGCTTAGTGTTTTAATCTTAATACATCCGTGTGAAAGTTTCGTGTGTGAGAATATTGTTGTGTCTGACCATAGTGTTGTGATGATGGTTACTGAGGTACTGAAACGTGAGCTGATCAAGTGTCAAGGTGTTCATCTGTGTCCCGGCCTTGGTGTTAGTATGGGTTAGTGGTAAATATTGTTACATATATACATACATACAGTACATTTACTTTATACAAGATCGGTGTCTCGTAATGAGTTATATTTTAAAACATTAAGATATAAACACACAAGAAAACTTCAGTAAAAATCTAATATAATTATGATTCACGATATATGAGTCGGCTTGTGAAACGCGATCAACATAATGAGTGAGGTGTTATATGATAAACACCAAGTTAAATTACATAATCAGCACCGTAAGATATTTAGGCTGATACTGTACCCAAAAAGACATTAAAGTATATAGGAACATAAGAATGGAGGAAACTGCAGCGGGCCTATTGGCCCATACGGGGCAGTCCCGCTTACACCCAACCCCTATCGCTCATATATCCATCCAACCTAAGTTTGAAGCTATCCAGCGTATTCGAGTTAATGATGATATTTGGTAACTTGTTCCAGTCGTCCACAGTCGTTTTTTTTTGGGGGGGGGGGGGCACCCCCATACATCCTTGTGTAAGGTGAAGCCCAGAAGCGTTTACAGCGCCCAACAGGGAAGCATGCTAAGTTCATGCTTGCCTTTATGTCTCATGAGTTAAGGGCGTAGAAGCCTGAAGAGTCAGTGGTTCATGTCATCAAGTTATTGGAAGCCCCAACAACTCCCTTAATACGACTTACAACTGGTACCTACTTTACTGCTAGGTGAACAGGGACTAATGGGGGCTAGGACGTATGTCCAAACAACTTCCACCGGCCCGGGAATCGAACCCGTGACATCTTGCTTGCGAGGCAAGAACGGTACCGCTTCTACCGCAGGCCCCCCAGACGTCCACGACTCTATTTCCAAACCAATGTTTACCTATCTCGCGCCTAAATCTAAATTTGTCTAATTTAAAATCATTGCTACGAGTTCGCTCCTGGTTGGATAGTTTGAGTACCTTTGTTATGTTACCTTTGTTTACACCTCTATCATATTGTCCCTCACTCTTCGTCTCTCGAGGGAGTGCAAATTAAGATGCTTTAACCTGTCTCTGTACACAAGGTTCCTATTACCCGGGATTAGTCTTGTCATTCTTCTCTGAATTCCTTCTAGGGATTTTATATCCATTCTGTAGTACTGTGACCAGAACTGAACTGCATAATCCAAGTGAGGTCTCACAAGCGCAAGATATAGTTTTAGGATAACCTCGCTAGCCCTGTGACTAACATGCCTTTGCACGAACCCAAGCACTTTGTTTGCCTTGTTTCGAGCAAATACACACTGTTGACTTAGTTTAAGAATCCGACTTATCGTTACTCCCAAATCTTTCCCACAGTCAGATTTCTCTATAACAACGTTGTTCATCTTAGGGTCTTGGACTTGAAGCTCTGATGAATGAAGTTATATCATCTTAGGGTTTTGGACTTGAAGCTCTGAAAGATGAGGGCATATCATCTTGGGGTCTTGGATTTGACGCTCTGATAGATGAAGTCATATCGTCTTGGGGTCTTGGACTTGAAGCTCTGACAGACGTAGGGATTTCACCCGGGTTCCCCAAGACCTGAAAAACACAACAGTTCAGTGAGAGATAAAGATCCACTTGTGTGTACAGGTTAAGAATATGAAGCCGAGTAGAAGAAATACCTCACCTTGGTAACTCATCCCCATCACCTACCTCACCTCTACCTCTTACCCCTCCCCCTCACCTCTACCTCTCACCTCTACCTCTCACCTCTACCTAATCTCTACCTCATCCCTACCTCATCTCTATCCTCTCCCTCTGTACATCTAATTAATCCACCTTATTTATTCATCCTCCTGTTTATTGAGAGGTTCCCGTCTCCCTTGATTCACCCTGAGCAAATATGGGAGCATATACATACATACATACATTCATACATTCATACGTCAGCTAGAGAAGGTACAGAAAAGTGCCTGCAGAATCATGCTCAGCGCAGAATACTCCGGCTACACCAACGCTCTCTCCACCCTGGAAATTCCATTCCTCAGTGACCTCCACCACCAAGCACTGGAAAGGTTTGGCTGTGGACTACTGCACCACCCTCGCCACCTCCTGCCACCTGCAGCCACCCACCCAACTCGCGCAGTCCGCCACTACAAAAAAATTCAGCCCATAAGAGCCCGCACCGATAGATATAAGAATAGCACCATCCCATCTGTTGTTAAAATAATAAACAACAACTGATTTATGTACTGTACAGCTCATTATGTCTAAATCATATGTAAGTCTGTATATTTTCAGCCACCGGCTGCAACTCTATTAATAAACCGTTTATTATTATTATTATTATTATTATTATTATTATTATTATTATTATTATTATTATTATTATTATTATTATATACATACATACATATATGAGAGAGAGAGGGAGAGAGAGAGAGAGAGAGAGAGAGAGAGAGAGAGAGAGAGAGAGAGAGAGAGAGAGACTACTTATGACTCAAATACCTGATAAGTGTAGAGGTGACAGCTTATGCTTGGTCGATATCTCGTCTCAGGAGCTGGACAGGTGTACTTTAGGTAGCTGGAGCAGCTGTGGGTAAGGTTAGTTACGCAGGTGTGGGATGGGTAATGGGGCAGACGTGCTTCAGGTAATCAGGCAGGTGTGGTTTCGATAAGAAACGGAGAATGACCAGACTGTCTGTGGTGGGATGAGGGAGAATGACCAGACTGTCTGTGGTGGGATGAGGGAGAATGACCAGACTGTTGTGATGAGATGAGGAAGAATGACCAGACTGTCTGTGATGGGGTGAGGGAGAATGACCAGACTGTCTGTGATGGGGTGAAGGAGAATGACCAGACTGTCTGTGATGGGGTGAAGGAGAATGACCAGACTGTCTGTGATGAGATGAGGAAGAATGACCAGACTGTCTGTGATGGGGTGAGGGAGAATGACCAGACTGTCTGTGATGGGATGAGGGAGAATGACCACACTGTCTGTGATGAGATGAGGAAGAATGACCAGACTGTCTGTGGAGGAAGTAAGGAGACCACAGACTGCCTGGGAACAACACATGTGGTTGATGATAGTGACGAAGGCAACACTGAAGGTGAGAACCCACAGTTGTGTCTCCTTGAGGTGTTATCTCTTCCTTACTGATGAATAACACAATGTTTGTGGCTCACATAAGCTTACTTGGGTCTCCTATGGGGTCAATTGTGTGTCTGTGGATGAGACTCATGTTAATCATATACTGTTTACTTCTCACCAATGCAAAGTTTGGTGTAAAATATCACACTTGTAGTTGGTGTCTTTCTTCCATATCACGCTGGGGCTCGTGTCCTGTTTTTCCTTTCTTACAAAATATTTGTCTGATCAATTTTGACCTATTTTCAGGATGATAAGATGTTTCAAATTTAAACCCTGCGCAGCGTAGCAAGAAATATATTGTAGGTACGATTATTAAAAGAGTTACAATAATCGCCACTAAAACAACCTTGACCACGTCAAGAGAATTCACTGTGAGGTCCTGTACGATTGATGAGGCAGTCAATTGTGACTCTCCACTTGTGGGGTCACACGTGAAGCTGAAGAAGGTCTCGCCCTCAGCCCTCACGATAAAATTCCTAAAGATGTTACAAATCTGAAGGCCATTTGATATAGTCTTTGCCGGTCTGTAGTTGATGAAGATCTCAAAGATATTCTGTTCGTCGTTGTACAGCAGGGACATATTGTGCCACATTGAAAGGATACTCCGTTCCTCGATCTGGTCTCGAGTTATGGTGGTGTCACCAAGAAACACTTCATTGCCCAAGGGCGTCTCGCACTTCATCTCGAAGTTCAGTCGAGCGAACTCTCTGCCAGGTTTGAAGAAAAAGTTCTCGCTGCGTTTCTTTAATTTTTTCACAGTGGATAACCTGTTACCTGAAGCTCGCGAACCTAGGACAGCTGGGCATTTAATGGGACACCCGACTGCCAAGTCTATTGAGCGTTTGTGTGAGACCCGCAGAAGAGTATGGCTTGGCAGGGTAACACTTCTTGATGCCAGAGATTTAGGCTTATTATTCCCCAGCTGCAGGCTGATGACGCTGTTATTCAATGTGACCAGCACCGTCGACAAGTCTCTGATTTCCATCTGTTGTGAATTCCACAGGTGAGAATCAACTACATCTCCTTCACATTTCCCTATAAATAGCGAAAGTCGTATATCCGGCACCTTGACTTCGATACTGACGCAGACGAGAGGCGCCTCCTCCTCCTCCTCATTGTGGACTGTGAAGTCCAGCCGCCAGTCAAGGGTAAGTGGCTTAGTGGTGATGTTGACGGGGAGTGGCACAAAGTGTGTGGGCAAATCACCATTCCCTAAAATCACACAACGCTCCACGTTATTTTCCGTGTTCACCAGGGTAAACCGGGCGAGGAGGCACCAGCACCACACAGCCAGCACACTGCACTGCCTCGGCAGCGTCATTATGACTAAACAACACACTCTGCTTCCCGCCAGAGAGAGTCGGTGTAATGATAAGGACCGACCAGGTATTAATCTTATCTTCGGTAATCTTATCTGTAATATGGCATGGGCACATTAATAGATCATTTTATTGACGTTACTAGACAATGACTCCTGGACACAAACATGAAATGGATACACTTCCCACCGTAAGTAACTCACCCTATGGATGACTCACGTGTGACCTGAGGGAGGCCCAGCAGCTGGGGACTCTGACTGCAGGGGCGAGTGGTTCCGGCAGGCTCTGGGTTCTGTCTGCTGTGGGAGACTGCCAGCTTTAGACTTAGTGCTGGGAAGGGAAGTCCCCCTCCCGACCTCGATTTGTGACGATTCCTGGTGTATTATTTCGATCTGGCACTGGGATTTGGGTTGTTTGTTGTCGGGTTGCTTATCAGCCCATGTTCGAGCTGCTCTTTTAAAGAATGTGCTACCGCTGGATCCTCCATATGCTTAGTGTTAAAACCTCTTCCGGAGGCTTGCTGCCTACGCCGATTTGGGGCGACGTGAAGTCAGGGTTTGGCTCTGACGAGCCGATGATCAGTGTCACTGTGGTCTGAGCCACGCATTGCACAGGTGATGAGTACATCTCGGCGATCTCTTTACCTGACAATGATGTAGTCAATGAGATGCCAGTGTTTGGATCGTGGGTGTTGCCACGAACCCTTCAACTTGTCGGCCTGCCTAAACAAGGTATTGATGATAATGAGGTGTGCAGCACACTAGCTGAGGAGGAGTAGGCCGTTGGGATTACACTTGCCTAGGCTTTTTCTACCTATGGTTCCTTGCCAAATGTTAGCATCTCTGCCAACTCTGGCATTGAAGTCACCAAGGAGCACAACTTTATCTTCTGTGGGGATAGAGGTTAGCACTCGGCCGAGGTCGACACACACACACACACACACACATCCTTGACAACCGAAGGGTCAAGACGTACCTGGCGCTGATCTGGCAGCAGCCAGGTCAACTGTTATGCTGGCCCATACCAACTCCCTCCCCTGAACCCTCCTCCTCACAGGAATATCAGCAAGTTCTCGTCAGAAGTTACTATTTCATTTCGGAAAGAAACGGAACCAGTGGTGAATAGTGCTTAAGTCAGTGAAAAACAACTCAACAGTAACAGCTGATTCGTACCCAAGCTAACCTTCACACAGTGAGGTCCCAGGTACCCAGTGATAACTGCCCCTGAGACTCAACAGCACCAGCTATGTGTTATTCCGTCCACGATAGGGAAGCCTGTTATTCCGTCCACGATAAGGTTCTGTGACACCAGACCACGTGGTGTCCCCATGATGCTACGACACCACGTAGTGAATGAGTTGCTATAGCATCATGTGAGGTTCCTCGTAACACCATCTGCGAGGGAATTACTACACCACGTGAGGTCCCTCATGTAATGATTGATTGTCAGACCAAAGCTTACAGCCCAGAATTATGTCACATATAACAGCAAATACACTGCAGACCGCGTGGTACCACCACATTCCGGGTTGACACACCTCAGGTCGACCCTAGGGACTTGACCTCGCCCGCTAATGACGTGAGTTAGCCGGGTGACCTACAACCTCACCTAACCAAGACACCTGGGCAGGACCACACCTGCACACAGCTATCCAGATCTAACCAGTTTAGTGATAATTGGTTAGAGGTCAAAGGCCGGTTGGGCCGACCCCATATAAAGGCCCTACAGTCCCGTCCAACTTCATTCTGGATTCCATCAGCATTCTGGTTCTGATATTCATTCTGGTTGCCAAGCGAACATTCGAACATTACTCTGGAGATTCCTAGACTCCCGCTCGTCCTCTTCCCAGGTCGGGAGGGGGACTTCCCGACCAGACCCCAGCTAAGCAGAAACCCCCCATAGAAGGCAGCCCAGCCAAGCATCCACTGGGCCT